ACCATCTCAACATCACTTACATAAAATTTGGGTCATGTGGATTATCTCCACCAAAACAGAGTGGGCACTGTTTCCGCAAGTATTCACTTGGACGCTGAAGATCTGTTTCATCATTTGTAGTATTCTGACTCTCATGAGAATCATCACTAGTGTCATCTGCCACTGAAGTAGGACTAGAAGAAGGGGGAGGTTCATAGTTTTGGTCTCCCCTATCTATGTCATCTGATTCAAGTGAAGACCCAGCCTCTGCAAGGTATTTTAGACGACCCTCATTTATAACCCCAGATATCAAAAGTTCTTTCTGGGCAATGAGATTGCCATACCACTGTAGTGCATTTCCAAAGCGACATCTTATGGCATCTCTACTCTCAAGCTTATATGTACGAGAACCCAGAAATGCCTCAAGTGAGTCACACCATGCAGTAGTGTTTGGAGGTGAACGAACAAAAAGCTCATTAACAAAGTCGAGCATATTCAAATCCACAGCTAATGTTGGTCGAAGGGGTGAGGCAGGAAACAAACCCATTGCCAAGAGCTGAAAAACAGCAGAGCAAGAACAAACTTCCACAGAAACAAGTTCTAAGATGGATGAAGGGTTCAGTTATTACAAGTAGATATCTTAACCAAAAAGCCACTCCCTTTCAAAAAACACAGCAATAACACTCATTATGCCCAGTTCCATCACAAGAACACTGAGGTAACCTTCTATCTATGTTTTTCAAATTCTCAGACTCCCTTAACAAGCCTAGATAAGGATCCAATAGTTCTGGGATCAGTTTCAGAGCCCAGTTCCTCCACAAGGCCAACTTTTTGTCTAACTTCTTCTTTGGGGAAGCTTGCTCTGCAGGAAATACCAAAGGCTGAAGGACATCACTGGCAGAAACATCACCAGAATCCTCAGAGTCACCACCAGAGGACTCAGATAAACTATCCTCAGCAGCAGCAGCAGCAGCATCATGCAAATCAGCCCCAGTGGGCACTGGAATCTGTACAAATGACCCAAGAGGAGTGGTCAAGTCTAGCCTAGGTAAGATATGAATGCCTGGCAACCCATAAGGATGACATGATGCATTAGAATCACTTGTAGAAGCCCAAGTATGAGCCGAGGACTTTTTCTTCTTCAACGATGGAGACCCAATAGCAATCCCAGCCTTGCCCAAGTAACGGCTCTTGTTGAAAGCCATAGAATTTGACGCAAGGATGTGAGGGGAAAGGAAAGAGAGGCTTACCCACGTACACCACTAACCCCCCAAAGAACCGGGTGCAAAAGCGAACACAAGATCATATTACATGTCATGCGGCGATAACAA